CACACAAACACAGATGCATGAGTCAGGGACACAAAGAAACTGGCACCACGGAGAATTGTTCCTAGAGGTTGCATTTGTGGCACATTAGTTTCTAGGGGCAGCAGTGCCTGTGTGTCACCAATGGTAGGGGCAACATACAGAATCAGCTAAGAATCTAGGGTTCAGCTTCGAGATCACCAATGTCCTCAATGAACGGGTTCCAGGGAGCGATTTCAGCTGCACTTCTGGCAATATGGCTTCTGTTTGTTCCTGCCTATGTTTCTGAGGTGGATTCTCTAATTTTTACAGAGATTCTTTGATTTGTCCATGAGCAACTAGTCCTCAAGGAAAAGATGGGGAAATCTAGTATTTTTTTATCTAATTGGTGCTGAAGACAATAAAACCAGTTAGTATTAAGGGATGGGACTTGAGAAACCTGTGGCATGTGACAACGACTAAAAATTTCATCAAATTGTCATGTGTGGTCACTTTGGACTAACAGGCCTATTAATGGCAAGACCTTGAGTGGACCATATGGCTACTGCCTTATGTATGAAAAACATAAAATGTTTGGATTGTGGAGCAGGTGGCCATGTTTCATAGTACTGATGACAAACTCAAAGTCCTGCATCTTTGGCTAAAGGTAAAAACTGAAGCTCGAGGGCTTTCTATTGTCTATGGCTAAAAAAAAGAAAAATTGCTGTCCCTTATAGCTACAAGACAGAGAACCAAAGGGAAAAAAAAAAAGAAGAAGAAAAGAAATTACAATATTTGTCACATGGATTGCCTGATGTCAATCAATTCACAGCCTTACCAACTGACTTATGTGAGGTCTGGGGCACTGATTAGGACAGATCTGGACCCCAGACCTGGAATGTAGATGTGTGATTGGATTTGGGAGACTCAGAATATGCCAATCCTCCATCCTCACTGAGCCTCCTCTGAGGAGGTGCGTCAAAGCAGCACATCCTCCCGTACCTGCTGGGGGTACCTGGTGGCCTTGTAATGACCTCTCCTGAGGGCGGATTTCATAAAAGGAAGCCCAGTCTCCCCATGCCCCACAGTCTCCAGTCCTACAGGAGCGTCAGAGTTCAACAGGATGCGGCCTTTGCTACTTAATAGCAGCAAAAATCTGGGTGCACTTTAAGGATGAACAAAACTTTTAGTTTGGGCTGAATTTATTTGATGGGGGTACAGTTGGTAGAAATTCTTGCTTCTATAGCTAATATGCTGGCTCAGTTAGCTGGAAGAGGTTCTGATTATTTGTCTAGTTCATTGACTTACGGCTAAATTCAGTGGTGGCCCATGATAAGTGAAGTTGCCAGAAAATCCTTGGTTTCATTTAGAGGAAAGAATCAAAAAACTTAAGGAAATGGAGATATTGAAGTGTATTTTTTTTTCTTTTCCACTCCTAACCATCCCTATTTTTTTCTCCTGAGGGAAGTCCAGATACTTTATTCTCTAAAGACCTGAGATATGCATTAGTGTGAGGAGCGCCCTTGAAAAACATGTTGGTGGTTTTACTTAGGTTGTGAAAGTTGATGGAAGAGACTACAGTTGAAATGGTCTCCCTAACTTGAAATAAGATGGCAGAATCATGATGGGTAGAAGCCAAGTAGCTGCACTTAACTGCTGGAAGCAAGGTGCTTGCAATTACCACAGTGGGTACCATGGCTAATGCTGTCTTCTGAATATAGTCCAACCAATAAAAATGTTCAGCAGTGCACAGAACCAAAATAAATGGACAGTCCACCAAGATCTTTTTTGATTTCACTATCACTTCTACCTCAACTCACACATTGACTTTGTGGCAGGTCTCCTATGGTCAATTACATAAACACAACAATATTAGAACCTAGTTTGCAAATATCAATGCCTACAATTCGGGCACCAGATGAAAGTGGTTTGCAGAATCATATTGGCTTATTTCATGGATATCTCTGAAGGAGAGTGTAAAGGGAAATCTTCTCATAGCACATTTTACTGTTTAATTTGCCTGGGATTATATAAGTATACAACAAGAACAAGTATAGAGTAAGAACCTGTATTGGTTCATAGGTAGTGGATAATGGATTGGCTAAATGGTCAAAGACCTGTTTGAAACAGAATTGAAGGATTGGTGACAAGAAAGCGTGAAAAAATATATGAATGTATCACCTGGGATTCAGTGTATACAATTTTTTGAGTCATATGGGTATATATATACCAAAGACCTCCACTGCAGTGGACTCTCTTAATAATAAGATGAACAAAATGAGCAATATTATGGTCATCTTTCTTCCTTATAACTCCCCATCTTTCTTCCTTATAACTCATTTGGGCTTCTGAACAAAGTAAACCTGTGATAAGGTCTTAGACTCAACATGTATTTCCTTTTTCCTGGCTAAAACATTATACTGTGTGCCCAGTTTGCCCGCTGCAGCCAAAACTGAGCCTGTAGTATATTAATGTACCCAAGGAGGACTAGCAGCCATTGAATAGTCAGATTACTTCCCTCATGAACAGAGAAATATCATTTTTTTATTGAATTAGAATCATACTTGTATTTGCTTTCTTTTGCTACCATTCATTGACTTACTGAATATTTTATATGCCCTTATAATTTCACATTCAACATTGCTTCTTGCCTAAGAAATTGCTTTATGGTGAACAAAGTAATGTAGTAGCTATGAAATTCAATAGTCTTATTATGAACTCCATTATGTAGAAGCTATTAGTGATTCATTATAGCACCAGCCAGGAGACAACACCTCATAAGTTTAGGGTGCGTGCTGTTCTCAAAACTAGAGATCAGTTTTTGTCCTGTTTCCCCCATAACCAGAATATATGATTTAGGAACAAAGTGGGGAGGGAGGGGAATGGCACCTCTTACTATATCATTCACTTGCAAAAATATGCTCTTTGTCTCCAAAAGTCTAGCACCACTGCTAATGCTGTTCCTGGAACCCGATGTTGCTTAAACTTCTCCTGCCTCTTGAAAGTTTAAGAGCAAATGTCTGTAACTGGAAGAGCCTATGTCTTGTGATTAAAGGTGTTAGGGTCCTAGGAAAGAGGATCTAGAGTAGCAACAGTGGTCCTATTGAACTGGAGATTGAGACCTCCTCATGGCTCTGGGTGAACAGACAAAAAAAAAAAAAAATATGTGGTTGGGTAGAGTGACTGTTCCTGACTGTGGAGGGGAAATTGGAGTTTTATTATACTAGTACTATAGACAGAAAGAAGTAAGGATGGAACCTCAAGAATCACTAGAGTATTTCCTTAGGACTGTCATGCCCTGGGGCAACATTAAAAGGACACTACAGTAACATAACACAGCCAGAACCATCAAAAGCTGCGGTTCTTTCAGCATGACAGTTTGGGTCACCTCACTAGCTAAAGAACTTTGATCAGATGATGTGCTGGCTGTAGGCATAGGGATCGTGGAAACGTTAGAAATCATACATTCCAACAACAGCTTTGTGATAGTTGAAGAAATGAAAACTATGGTATTTAACCCTGTCTACTTTCTATCGCTATTTATGTACTATTTGGGGGATTTCACATAAAGAAGTCATACAGTATGTGATCTTTTGTAACCCTTCTCATTTTGTGTGCTATCACTGGCATTCCTTTTAATCATACATATTTGTAAACTCCACAAGACATTATATTATTGTTTTATATAATTGAGATTCATTTGTATATATACACTGATGTACATCTTGGACATTTTAATTTTGGTTATGCTCAATTTAAATTTATCCGTGAAAGAGAAATGATTTCTTTATATTGGGTCTTACTGCTCAAGAGAACAACGTATCTTTTCGTTTACTTCAGTTTTATGTTCTCTCAGTAGCCCTTTCATGCTTTCCTCATCTAAGTCTTTTATATTTCTTATCGAATTCATACCTAGACATTGTTTCTTTTTGGTCTTTTTTTTCCCTAGTCGAGCCTTCTCTTCTTCACTTACCAGAGTAGAGATGAATGATTCTGTCAGTGCTTTCTCTATGTGATCTGTGCAATAGATGATTTTCCCTTAAGTTTGATATACTGTATATCTCTATCTATGTAGAGATATACGAAACAGGTAAATTTACGATAAGAGCTAAATGGTATTTCAGACAAATACTTCACAGAAGGTTCAAGGATTTTGTTTTGATTCAAATTTAAAAAGTGAGAAAAGAAAGTAAAAAAAAAATAACGATGTTTGTCTTTCAGAGTTTCCTGGGAATTTATTTCTCATTTATTACTCACATCCTTGTCCATTACTTAATAGTGACACTGGCTCTGGTACATTTGTGGAACAGCCAAGTTTCTTCCTGTTTGGGGGCCTTTGCACTTACACTTTCTCTTACTTGGGAACGATTTCTTCTCACCTTTCAGATGCTCCATCAGATCTCAGTTTAAGTGTAAACTCCTTTCCAAACTTTCCAGAGTAAAGTGGGCCTCTCCCACCACTGTTCTCTTTCTCTGCACTTCAGTTCCTTCTGAGCGTGATCACAACCTAACAACATCTACTAACCCCTTCTTGCTCAGAAACATAAGGTAGATTCTGCAGTGCCTACCAGAGTACCTGGCACATAAGCCTTCCATAACTACTTTTCAAAAAAAGAATTTGTACAGACTTGCAGGCATCCTCAAACTACAACCCTGCAGGCCACATTCTGGCTGCCTAGCACATTTATCTGGCCCTCCAGGTGTTTTTGCCACTGCTGCCTGTCCTGCTTAGCAGCCAACTCCTCCCCGGCCCACAGTGAGCACTCTCCAAGGGTCTGAGGGACAGTGAACTGGTCCCCCTGTTAAAAAGTTTTAGGAGCCCTGGACAGATAATTAATTAGAACATATATGCTAGGCACAGGTCTCGGGGTATTTTACATAGTGTTCGTAAAGTCAAGCATTAACAATTCCAGTCTCTTTTAATTACAGAAACCTCCTCCTCCCACTGGAGTACCTTTCCCCGCCCTCCAACAACTCCACCCCTCGGGCTTCTAGGAGCCTCAGCAGGGTTACCAAGGTAGAGCCTTCCGGGGCTGGGACGCATGCGCGCGGCGCACCCTGCACATGCGCAGTGCTCGCGCTGCCGCCACGGTCCCTGCCCCGGCAGAGTTGGCGGCGCGGGCACTGGTGTCTGGACGCGCAGCGCTATGGCGGAGGGCAGCGGGGAAGTGGTCGCGGTCCCGGCGCCTGGGGCTGCCAACGGCCTCAGCAATGGGGCAGGCGGGACCCCGGCGCCCACCAACAACCCGTTGTCGCGCAAGCTGCATAAGATCCTGGAGACGAGGCTGGACAACGACAAGGTAGTAACCGGGGCTGGCAGGGCCGGGGTCTTGGGTCCCCGGCGGGGCTGAGGCGGGCGAGGCTGAGGCGGGCGTCTGTCCGGCACCCGCTGCGGTCTTCCTGCCGCGGAGCGGGCCGCGAGTGACCCCAGACCCGCGGGACCGGCTGCTCTCTTGAGTGGGGCGGGGGAAGAAGGGGGAGCCGGAGGAGCCCCCGGAAGAACGAAGGGGTTTCTTGGGTGTTCTCCTTACTTAGAAAGGTTCCTTGAAGGCTCTCTGGGTAGGGTCGGTGAACCGTGGCTCCTCGAGAAGTGCTCCCCCACACACCCAGGGGTCTTCGGGGGTCTAAGCCAGGGTAGAGGAGGAGAGCACCGGGCAGGGCAAGAAACCGACGCAGAAGAGCAGATCCCAAGATGCGGCAGCGCGAATGGGGATTAGGAGGAGCCTGAGAGCAGGGGTCGTAAGAGAGCATTTCCCTTCACAGGTGTCACCTGCTGGGAGCATCTGCAGCGTGAAAGGCCCATAGCTCAAATGAACTCATATCTACTGGTTTTTGGTGTTAGCTAAGCACGATGCATGATTGACAGGCCCAGGCTGTATTTCTTTACAAGATAAACTGTCCACATCTCTCCCAAGTATCTCCTGAAACTTAAGTTGAGCTTTCCAGCTGCTGACATACCCAGCTCTCTCTTCTGCGTCTCGGAGTGTCTATGGTTATGCCGGTGTCGCATAAAGAAAAAAGATATGTAAAAATGAGAGCTTCGTAGGTGAATCTAGAGGTAACTGAAAATAAATTGTTAATAAGAATTTGACTTCTGTGTGTAAAAAAATGGCATTGCAATGTCATGACTAAGAAGGAAGGGCTTTCTTTGGGCCACCACTTATTATTAGGTAGACATAGTATTTGTAATCTTTGCAATTCCAGACAGTTCTGCAGTGAATGACCTTAAATATATATATGCCATTGTGCACAAGTAAGTATACCCTTATTGCATTCTGGAAATAAGTTTACTGTGAAGTAATTTGAATATTTTTTAGATTGTTTAATGGAAATAAATTATTTGAACATGATCTCTTTACATTTTAGCTTGAGATTAGGAAGATATTTAAAAATCAGTCCCAGTGACTTTCTTCTGTTACCAATTGTGTAGGAGATGTTGGAAGCTCTCAAGGCACTTTCAACCTTTTTTGTTGAAAATAGTTTGCGGACTCGAAGAAATTTACGTGGAGATATTGAACGTAGAAGTTTAGCCATCAATGAAGAATTTGTAGGCATTTTCAAGGAAGTGAAGGAGGTATGTAAACTCTTTTCACATAGCATTTATTGAGAGCATACTATATGCCTGGCTCTGTGCTAAGTATTTTTTCAATCAGGTCGATATTTGCTATTCATGTACTATGTGCAAATAGAATACTTAGCTACTTGCACCTGCTGCTTCTTTTACTGTTCATCTCAAAGCAGTTTGGGACTTAGTTTAATGATTTGACATATTCTGGGAGGCCGAGGTGGGCAGATTGCTCAAGGTCAGGAGTTCGAAACCAGCCTGAGCAAGACCCTATCTCTACTAAAAATAGAAAGAAATTAATTGACCAACTAAAAATATATATACAAAAAATTAGCTGGGCATGGTGGCGCATGCCTGTAGTCCCAGCTACTCAGGAGGCTGAGGCAGGAGGATCGGTTAAGCCCAGGAGATTGAGGTTGCTGTGAGCTAGGCTGATGCCACGGCACTCACTCTAGCCTGGGCAACAAAGTGAGACTCTGTCTCAAAAAAATAAATAAATAAAAATAATTTGACATATGTTTTATTTATAGTAAAATATAGAGTAGCATTTGAAAATATTTGGTGCTACGATTTTTATAATTCCAAGTACTTTGTGAGAGAAGCGAAACAAACTTTTAATTCTAGAACTAAGATTTGTGCTCATACTCTCATAAGTAATTTCCTAATCATAGTTTGTCCCCACATTTTGTTTATAGCCCTCTTGACTATTTTCATATCTCTTGACCTCGTTGGCCCATTCCTTCATAAAACTGTCATGTTTCTATTTGAAGGTCTTGTCACTGTTGATATGGACAGCAGTAAGACCCTGTCTACCACTGAAACTTTCCTTCCTTGTTTCCTTCCTTCCATTTCTCTGTTGTGTGGCACTAAATTGAATTGGGTAAAAGAAGAGAGCACTACAATGTGAAGCTAACTGTGATTTTGTGATATGATCATATTTTTATATTAAGGCATTGCTTTAGTAAAGAGTAGATGATGGTTTAGAGAGGCTGGGCATAGAGCCTGGGAGACCTGTTGGAAGATTTTTTTATTAATCTATGCAAGAGATAACAATTGCCCTAGACTAAAGTAGTGGCTGTTTGGGCAGTGAAAAAAGAAGTGGATAAGATGTATCCATGAAGTGGATATAAATGATAGAATTTAGGGACCAATTAAATTCATGAGTTTGTGGAGGGAGCTGGAGGTGGAAATGTGTAGGGAAAGAATGTTATTGAGAAAACTATCAGATTTTTGGCATGATCTAATGTATGTGATGCCTTTCAACATGATAGGGAGAAGCACTATTGTTTTATTTCATTTTCACATTTGATTATTAATTAAAATTTACAAGTAATTCATTACAGAAAAGTTAGATAATGTCAGAAATAGAAAGAATATTTACTTATGATCTATCACAAGAAATAACTTTAGTCAGTATTTTATTTTATGGCCTTCCTTATGTTTTTCTGTACATAAATATATTTTTTCCTAAAAAATGGGAGACAGTGTATATATATATTATTATGACTTCTTAAGCCGTATATAGACAACTTTCCATAAACATATAAAATCATTGTTAATGTATGCACAGATTTCCATTGTGTGATTGGATATGCTTCACAGTTTACATTTGTTTTAGGTAGTTCTGTATTGATCATCCTTATACGTATATTGTTGCACACTTATCTGATAAAATCCATAGGATAAATTGTTATTAGAATTACTGAATAAAGAAGTATTCATATTTTTAAAGCACTTGCGTTTTCCTGTTTGTCATACCCTCTAGAAGGAATGGTCTAGTTTCTTTACATCTTTTCTAACACTAGATGTTATTGTTTTTAATCATTTCCAATTTTAAATATAGGATCTCTTGTCATACTTTGATAAAAAAAAATCATGGGACTAAAATAAGGATTTTGTGAAGAGAAACTTCATCTTATGGTATCTACGATATTTGAGGTTATTTTTCTTTTCAGGAACTTGAAAGCATAAATGAAGATGTTCAAGCAATGAGCAACTGTTGTCAAGATATGACAAATCGCCTACAGGTATTGTATAATGCCCAGATTTTAGCATAGTTCCTACCATAATCACAAGCTTTCAAAAATTATTATATAGATCTACAAAATGTATGGATATATCATTACATCATACCCTGTAGGAAGTTTGAATATAAATATTATGCTTATTTGTTAAAACTATAAATGTTTTTGTGTTTCTTTGGGTGATGGTTTATTGATGTTGTTCAATTAACTTTTAGAGCCTTATGTTGGTCTGGCCAGTAGAAAGCTAACAGTGTAGAATTTTGATAAAACTTTCAATTCTGTAATATCCCAGAAGTCCAGCAGGAATGAATTTTTTAGTAGAAAGCCTCAGGAATAAGTTCACACTAAAGCTATGCCTGATAAAGATTCAGCTAAATTCCATTCATGATCAGCCTAAAAACGTCTCAGGAAAATATGTATAATTTTAGGTCTGTTTATTAAAGCAATCCTAAACTGGTTTGGCTGCAGAATCAGCATTTGACCTGATTACCTTCATTCATCTAATTTTGGAAGAGTGCATATAACAGGTTCTCCCTAAGGGTCAATCATGATTATGTTTACTCTTTTCCTATAGTTTAATACCAAGCTTACATTTCTAAGATTCTCTTGGAACCATTGACAGCAACAGTAATTCTAGGAAGAATCATTAATTTATGCTTATTCCACAAATTAATCACAGTCTACTTGCTTTTTATGTCTGTTAGGACTAATTAATTTCCTATTTCTCTAAAATGTTATCTTTCTAGTCTTGTCTAAATTTTGATATTCTTACTAACATATCAAATATTATAGGCATATTGTCTTTTAGTCCAATCTTTAGATTTTGTTAACTTAATAATATTTAAATAGTTATATAATCTTTGCTAATTATTATTGCCATTTCACATTTTTTGCACATATTTATTTTGTTGCTTGGTTGATTCTATTTAATCATTCTTTTTCTTTAACATCTTTATTTCCATTTCTCTTCTTCTAGCTTCCGTGACTTAGTCCTTTCCTCAAATTACACTCTATAAGGTTTTTTATATTATACTCTTGTGTTTTTTGGTAGCAGTGTTTTATGTTTATTGGATTACTCAGTTTTCTCTGTTTTTAGTGGTAGTACTTGCTATTTTCTATTTATTACCCTTAATTATATTTTTATTCTTTTCATCATAGCTATTTTTAAGTATAAAAAGATCAAAGTATTTTTATTCTTCATGTTATTTTCAAAACAATTTATAAGTCTTTTAAATGAAAACCAAGGTGTCTCCTGTTTTGTCCTTTCTTTGTACTCACCTCCCATCCTGTTTTTCTTCTGTGGTGGCATGAGCCTATTTTCTCTCTTTCTTTTTTCATATTACGTTTATTGAGGAATAATTTATGTATAATAATAAACTGCATCCATTTGAAGTGTTCCTATTGATTCATTTGACACTTTTATACACCACCTATGAAACAACCACCATAATCAAGATATAGAACATTTTCATCAATTGTAAAAGAGTTCTTTATAGCTTTTTAATTGAATATTTAAAATATTTGATACTGCCTATTATTGATATTCATGTTTGGTGCATGTATCATTTCTTAGATGAGTAGAGATTAGACTCATGATTTTGAAAGTTTTGTTTATACCCTCAATTTTGCTAAAAATTAATTTATTTGGATGTAGTGTTATTGGTATCCAAATAGTATACACATACTGACAACTCTAGAGTAATAGTTTAAATTTATTCATTCACAAAGGTATTTTTTTAGAATGTCTTCCCTCCCCTTTTTCATTATAGAGTATTAAAATGATTAGTTAGTATTTTCTAAAATGCTTTGAATATGGGGCTTTTGGGAAATTACTATTATGAGATAATTCATTTAAACATTTATCAGTAATTTTATATATGCTGTGGTTTATACTTTGGCTGTGGTTTTGCTTGGATAAATTACATTTAGAGGCATATATTTGTTATTTAATGAAAGACAATCCTTAATATTTAATATAAATTAATCAGAAATTGTTTTAGGATGATAATCTTTATTAGTATTAGTAAACATTATTTTGGAGTCATTAGCATAGCTTATAAGTGAAGAATCAGGAAATTTGCCAAAATATTTGAAAATGCTTATTGTATAATATGTATTGAAGTATCATATTTCATTGACTAATAGTATTGATTGTAAGATATACCCTCAATTTAGTAATGACTGGGACTAAAAAGAAGCTAGTAATTTGTTTTTTGATATTGATTTTGTGATGCATTCTTTTTTAAGAAATATTATAAAGTAAATATTTCTTAGAATTGAGGAAATACTATATTTGAAAAAAATTATACAAGGCAACAATGTATAATACAAGGGTGGAAGTGGAACTTTAAAGCAAAATGAAATTAGGAAATATAAGCATTTGAAGAAGTTATTAGATTTGAAGTCTAATAATTCTGACAGAGTGCTTTGGGAGCTGTCATGTTCAGTTTCATTCCTTAAAAGTTAGTGATATGCTAAATTATCTAGGTTTAACTCTGTTTCTTGAAAAATCTATTTTCTAGGCACATAATTTGGTTGCAAGGAGCAGACTCAGACTAGCTTTACTGGAGGGGGAGGTTGGGGCTCTGGTGACAGGATGCCTAGGAAACAGTAAGACAGACAGAGTTTCACTGGCAATCTGAGAGCAGTGGACAGGCTCAGGCCTCTGAGAACTCAGAGCTGGGGGCATCTAGATCTAAGGCAGCTCTAGAAACCTTAGTAGCCAAAGCTTGGCTCTTCATTGTGGTGTTCCAGCATGAAAATGACCCAGTATCTTCAGGTGTTTGTTCTGGTATTTTCTTTTTAACAGGCCGACTTATCTTCTATTTTTTGTGTTTTTGTCTACGTTATAGTTTCTGCTTACTAGTGACTTAATTTATGCATAATTCTGGCTCACTTAGTATCCCTTCAGTACATGGACACTGTGTCTCTCCCCGCCTCATGACCACTTGCTTCTCTTCTCATTGCTTACTGCTTTATTTTTGTAGTATTCTCCAGTTCAGGTCTTTGAGAGAGAATCTCATTGGCTACACTTGTCTTTTGTTTAAATTCACTTCGTACATGTTTGGCAAATCTTTGGATAGAATGCTTTTCCATCAAGTTTTCACTTCTGATCCTTTCAGCTCTGCCTTGGGGAAGGGAACATTGCTCAATATGAAACTTGGCCAGAAATCATCCCGTGTCCTTTAGATGGAGCTATCTCTAATCTTCACCACAACTCTATATGGCGGGTAGTTTATATATTCCAGCTCTCAAATTTTTATCTCCATCTCAGGCATTTCTATCGAGCTCCACACCAGCGTTTCAGTGACTTAATTAATGTACTACACTGTTTAGAATATTTCAGTTCAACACATGCATAACCGAAGTCATGTTCTTCATTTGTAACTTGTTCTGCCATTGCTTCTGTTGCACTAAAAAGCATCGTAAACTATTCAGTTCTTTAGTCAGCATCTGGATCCCTTATCCTGTCTTGTAAGCCTTAGCATTATGTGTATATTGAGAACTCTGCGTGAGTCCATTTAAATAAAGTAGTGTATGAGTCTTGAAACATCTATGTATTGCATTTACTTGGGCCTTTTTTAAACTTTTGAGTTCTGTAGAGTGAGCTCATTTGCTTTAAACTTCAGTAAGTGCTAGTATTAGTTTTCTGAAATATAATAAAATTGGAATATACTGATGTTAACTATGTTTGTAATTTTAGGCAGCAAAGGAACAGACTCAAGATTTAATAGTAAAAACTACTAAGCTTCAGTCTGAAAGGTAAGTTGTCTTCCTACTCACCTCTTCAGTAATTTGGAGATTAGGTAGAAAGAAAATTATAGATAAAAGTTAAAACAGAATAATAAAAAACAGTTTAAAATTGGTGTAAGACATAAGGTCCTAAGCTATATCTAATAGTAACTTAAACATGAAATCGTAGTTTAAGAATATTAAACTTGATATTGAGGTTGAGCGATTATTCCTTCTTTGGAATAGAAGTGATGATGTGTTATTTATTTGTTGTGGAGTTCAGAAATGATTGCTTTTTAGAATATAAATGTTTTCATGCTTTTAGTATTTTACTATTACTGTTTTTTCACAATTATTGTCTTTTATTTTTTAACCGTGATTTATCCCCTCTGGTATAATTAAGAGTTAGCTTTCTCCTTGCACTTTACACAAGTAGTTATACTATTTTTTGATTGAATGAATGAGTGAATGAAGGTAAGTGTAGTATGGATTAGTGTAAATGTTATGTTGAATATTGCCAAAACTCATTGAAAATAAGGTAAAACTCATTGACAGTGCATCTTTTATATCCAGAGTAATATAGAGAGGGATGAGCATTATTCTATGAGGTGGTATACCCGTGTATTGCTCAGTAGTTGCATATATCACTTAAATGTTTGAGTATTCTGAGTGTTTCATCAGTAATGTGGAGATATTACTGCCATAACTGATCATTATAGAGTAGTTCAGTATACTATAGACCTGAGGTCATCAAACTATGGCCATAGGCCAAATCCAGCTTGCCACCTGTTTTTATAAATGAAGTTTTATTGGAACACAGCCATGCTCATATGTTTACATACTGCCTATGGCTGCTTTCACCCTACTCTAGCAGAACTGTATGGTTACAACAGGGACCATATGTGGCCTACAACGCCTAAAATATTTACTACGTAGACTTTTACAGAAAAAGTTTGTCAATACTGATGACTAGTATTTTTCAAACTATAGATCAAGACCAATGGATAAAATTATTTAATTAGATCATAACTATCTCATTTCATTAAAAATGAAATAAGATAAAATAGAAGTAGTTTGAATAAATATTATTTTGTGAAGCCTTTGTTTGAATTTCTGGTAATGGTTTAATGTACTTCTTATTTTGGACCATGGTCAGAAGAGTTTGAAAGACACCCTTCTAGACCAAGAATGGCAAGTACATGGTCCCTAATCTTTAGTTTCACATCCATTGTCTTAACAGTCTTTTATATTGAGCTCTTAATCTTTTTTAACACAATTCTCTTTACACTAAGATATGATGAATGGGAAATTATAAAGAGTGCAGAGGCATAAAGTTACTTGTGTAAGAGTATATCACGGGTCTCAGGGATAGAAAGGACTTAGAGATCAATTGTAATGATCCTTTGCAGTTAATAACCAATATAATTTACCTTTCCATCTTAAAGAAACAGAGTAAAAGGCGATGAAATGAACAAAATAAAATATGTTATATACCAACATCATTTAAAAAATACTATCTTTAGCCAATGACACAAAACAGCAACCATATTTTCTTTACGTACATATGAAATACACTACTGGGTATCGAAACATGTACGTTATTTTAGACGTGTGGTCTTCAAACTATAGTCTATTGAAACTTAGAGTTCCTTTGTAAGAATTAGGAAGATACAGAGTTTTTGAAATCAATGTCTCTCATCTTAAATTTAGTTAGAGCAATTATACTTTTACTTATTTAGTATATTAGGATTCCATGTAAGGTTTTGTTTGAAAAAAGGGTTTGACAGTGGGAAAACATAAACATTTTGCCCCATTTTAAAACTAGTTGAAAGGTAGAATACCAAATAAAATAATGTTTCTCAATTTTATTCTTCATGTCAGAGAAAAATCTTAAAATTAAGTATTAAAGCTTTATTAAAGCTTAATCATAATTTCATGCTTTTAGATCCTCTTTTTCTCTTTACTAGCTATCATCTCTTTCACTAAAATCTACTTTTACCTGTATTGTGATTCCTACAAGTCAAAATGAGAGCAGTTCAGTGTCTTCCTCAGAATTATGCAGTTGGAGGTTGCCCAGATAGGAATTGAAATTAGATGCTCTAACCCTACATTCTCTTTTGTCATGTTAACATTGTAGTTCTGTATTGTAAAGCTGGATAAATAATTCTACCCTGAGTCAGTATTTAATTAGTTGATGTTGACCTGTAAGTAGGTTCATGGTACTTTTCAGGGCTTTCTTTCAATCTTATTTCTCAACATTTAATCTGGACTTGGGAAAATATATAGATAACTTACTTGAAAAATTGTGAAGGACCCAAAGTATAGAAAGTTAAGTATAATATATCAATATAATCAAGCTTTTGAGAAAAAACAGGGTACCTACAAGAGGGTGAATAGGATGATAAAAGGTCTCAAAAAATGACATAAGGTGGAAAAAGCCAGAATTGTTTATTTAGAAGTATAGCAAGGACTAAGAGGTGTGTGATGGCTATTTTCAAATATTTCAGGATCTGTCCTGTTTAAAAAGGTTGGATTTATTGTGTATTGCTGCCGAGGTTGGAACCGAGTCTCAAAGGAGAAATTTATAGATGCCAAATTTTGGCTTTTTATAAGCAAGAATTTTCTATCTAATAAAATATGAACAATTACTTCTCCAAAGTTTTTTTTTTTTAAATCACTGAAAACATATATGGTCTGATGTGAGGTGTCACTTGGAGCCATCTGTCATTTTATCCCGATTTTCCTGTCTATTCTTTCTTCACAGTGCTATCATGCAGGTACCCTACACCTTACCACAGTAAACATAAGAACCACCTGCGAGCGTGATAGGATGGCAAGTTTGGTCTCCATCCTCAGAGTTTCTGATCATATAAAAATAAACTGTATTTTCTGATTAATGATTCAGGAGATCTTGAATTGGGCTCAGGCTTCTGCCCCTCTAACAATATCCTGGGTATTTCTATGCTGATGGCCCAGAGACTATAATTTGAAAGACCTTGCCTTAGCCCAAATTATTTATATCTTTTATTGTTTATCCCTTTCTTGGGATTAACATGATCATGCTGTAAAAGAAACATTGTAAGGAAAATTTTTAAAACAATCTTTGGTTTAAATATTTTTAAAATTGAGTTTCAGATTGTATGGATTTTTTTTTAATAAAAATGTTGTCTGATCTAACCATGTTTTTCCCTCCCAATACACAAGAGCTTTCTTTTTGTGGGCACGCATCATTTAAGAGGGGGTGATGCTGTTTATTTCCTGATTTAACTACATTTATCAACCAGGTAGACTTTTTCAGTGTTCTTGTTCATTGTACCTGGAATTCCATTTCCCAAAATTCATTTGTTGAAAACTCAGTTATCCTTTAAGGTCCCACGGTTGTTTATGCTCATGATACATTTCAAAATATTTTACACAATTTTAGAATTTTAGGCAACCGTATGTGTGTATATGTGTGTGTCCATGCATATGTATGTTCCTTGAGAACATATATATATGGGTCTGTGTGTATATGTATTTCAAAGAGAGCCTTTATGACTTTGAAAAATGGTACAGTTCATAGGAAATTTAATCAGCCTTTGCACTTTACAGTTCTGTTATCTAGCTATTTTCCATGTTTGTCCAAGAGCCTTTATTCAGTCACCAGAAAAAAATTAATCAGTTCCTTCTTTGTACTCCCACAACATGTTGCTAATCTAACACTTATATTTTGTTTTATAATTCTTACACATTTGCTGGACGTTATGGTCTTTGTGTATTTTAGCAAAATAACAAGGCAGTATATTAACGTAATGTTCTTTGTACCTATTGATTTCTACACAACAAACTTAATGAATTGAATATGTTCATATACTTACTTTAACATTTTAAAATAGTAGTTATTGCATACATTGCCTGTGATGTTTCTTAAGATTCAAAATCTTTCTTTATGAGTATAATACTACCGATTGTGCTTATACTGCAATTAAAGTTATTGAAGACTGAAAAGTATCAAACCAGAAGAGTGTATTAGATGCTTTTTAAAGCTATATTTTACATGGTTAGAATACTAAATGTAATTGCATGTCAAAAGAGCTATATATTTTTGTTTACTTTAAAAACATCTTTGTTGAGGTATAATTCACATGCCATAAAAATCACCATTTAAAGTATTTATAATTCATTGGGTTTTGGTATATTCACAGAGTTATGCAACTATTACTACAATCTAAGTTTAGAACATTTTCTCTACCCCAGAAAGAAACCTGTGACTATTTGTAGTCACCCCAGCGTTAGTCAACCAGTAATCGACTTTCCACCTCTCTAGATTGGCCTGTTATATACCTTATGTATAAATGGAATCATACAATATATGGCCTTTTGTGGCTAGCTTCTTTCACTTAGCATAAACATTTTCAAGGTTCATCTGTTACTTCAGCCTTTTTATTGATAAATTTCATTCCATGGTATGGATACACCATATTTTGTTTACTCATTCACTAGTTAGTAGACATTGTGAAAACTTTAAAGGCCTAGGATTTTTTAGCAACTGAGAAGAAATTGGTTGAAAACAGGTACATATTTCTCTCCTATAAAAATAACCTTGTAAATTATAAGATAAACTATTCAAGTATTTGTAAGTGGTTGAAAATTTGTAATGCACAGATTGTTTGTGAACGTATTTCTTCTTTTGTGTAACGTTCAACTCTTTTTATTGTGTGCAGGTATTTGAATAGAATATTAACTAATTTTATCAACTATTTGTCTGTAGGGCTTTCAGTCTTTGAGGTAGAAATGAGGCTTTCAAAGATGTTGAGAATCTTTTATACCTTTGTTTTAAAAAGTTAATGTCTGAGATAAATTTGTTTTAAAGCTGTGCAAATGCATTGCATGCTTGATTTTTATTGCTTTTTTTTTTTTAATTTTAGCCAAAGATTAGAAATAAGAGCACAAGTTGCAGATGCCTTCTTATCTAAGTTCCAGCTGACTTCTGATGAAATGAGTCTACTTCGAGGTACAAGAGAAGGGCCTATTACTGAGGTATTCTTGCTTTCTGTTATAATCATTTAAAGTGTAGTAGTTACAGATGTTATAAAGAAATTGCTTTTTTAAGGCTTTTTTAACACACTTAAAGTTTCATCTGAAAATATTTTTAAATTTGGAAATTAAGAGGAATGTTTTAATTACTTTTAAATTTTTATTTTGTCAAAATAATACATGTACTTTTTTAAAGTCCAAGAGCACAACAAAGCTTATATAGAAAACCTGCATCATCTCTCCCTATAGCAGTCCTTTGTTGACCATTTTCAACTTTGTTAATTGCTTTTATAAATTGTATATTCTAGCTCTTTAATTACAAAGAGTATTCTTTGATTATGTTAACTATTTTCTGTTGATTTCCTAAAATAAAATATGAGGATTTAGCCTCCTAGCTTCTTTTCTCCCTCCCCCCAACACAAACAATACACACAAATTTTCTCTTTATGTCCTTTATAATTCATAGTATAGTTATATCACAGTTCCTTTTTTTCATTACAATGACATTACAGTGATTATGTGGTCTTTCTTTTATAACTTTTTGTCTTTCCTGGAGTTGGAAATTGCTAACCTTTTCATCTAATGAATTTTTGAAGCTATGCCATTTTTTTCCAAACTGACTGACAAAACTATAAAACTTCTCAAAATGCTAAACAATAAGAAAAAGTTTCATTTTTTTTTCCTTTGAAGACATTCAGTTTTTCCAGAAAGGAACCTTGAGATCTCCTCAGTGGGAGGAGCCATAAACTTAAGCCTGTTGTCATCATTCTGAGATAGGGGACAAGAAGGGTTCTTTAGGTGGGAAGGGAGTCTCAGCATTTCTTAGTAGATATCCCTTTTACTGCCTTGGCTGGAATGGAGCCAACCATTTGGGAGTAGGGAGGTAGGTAGGTGAGAGATTGGTAGAGACATTTATTATTAGTATGTACTGTAATTTGAGGAACTTAGCACATTTGAAATATTTGACATCATACTTTTTCTTAGCAGAAATACTAAACAGTATTAGAGAAGAAAGTTCCCCCTCTAGTTTTATTCATCAAGGAAAAATAGCACATCTGTTTGCATGGTTGGAACATTATTTGTAGCATTCTGGAAACTAAGGTTCCAGTACATTTTTCTAAAGAAAAGTTCAGCCTCAATCAATTCTGACATATTTAATGAACACCTTTTATATGTTCAGCTTTGCATTCTGCTCTTGAATGAGGTAGCAAGAACAAATAAGAGTGCCATGCTTAAGTCATAGATGTATAATACATAGTATGCTTTTCTTTATGCAGTAATCTTTAGGTTTGCATTTCTCTCTCACTAGACTATATACTTCTCGAGGGCAGGGATTTTTGTCTTTATGAATTTTGTATTCCTAGCAACTAGCACACTATTCGTATTTGGTACAGAGTAGACATTGGATTAATATATGTTTTAAAATGTGAATAAATGCCTGTTACCCCTGCTATAAAAATTTAGATAAAGTTGAGATCCTTATGGGAAGGCTTAAATAGAATGGGTGAAAGAATTTGTTTTCCCTTTGTAGTGATCTTTCAATTTCAAGTAATGTAATTTTACCAGAAAACATGGACATAAAGTTGCATTCTTAATTTTAAAGGACTTTTTCAAGGCACTGGGAAGAGTAAAACAGATTCATAATGATGTCAAAGTTCTCTTGCGTACAAATCAGCAAACAGCAGGGTGAGTAACTGTTCATTGAACTAATTGTATTGCTGCTTATGCTTCCAAAATTTTGAAGACATTTTAGGTTCTTTCTGAAGTTATATGACATTTTGTGAAATAGGAGTTTAATCTTTATTTATCTTTGGAGAAGGGGGAAGTTACACCCTGACATATTTAGACTAAAACAGCAGTTGATAAGTAAATGATAATATTAAAATTTGACATTTATTTAATTGTAAAATCTTATTAAAAATCATTCCATAAAATGATCAAAAATTAATATGCTAATTCCAAATCATTCTCTAATTAAAATAATTAGGTGGTTAGATGTAGCTATTGACTTAAAGTTTAAATTATAATAAATCCTGATAATTTTTTTTCTTTTTAGTTTAGAAATCATGGAACAGATGGCCTTGCTTCAAGAAACATCTTATGAAAGACTTTACCGATGGGCTCAAAGTAAGTTATTTTCTTCATGTTGTCTAGATTCATGAATATTAGCATTTTATTTTTAAAATTTCACTTGGTCTATATTTGATAAATTTTGATTTTAGCAACCAGAAGTAATTTTAAAAAGAAAAACTTTACTTTGAACATATTGTCTTTGTATTTGTATCATGAGCATCTGTTATCAGCTAAGCAATATGCCTGATTAAGGATGGGAATAAACAATTTAAAAATGAAGATAATGTTTCTGCCCTAGATTATCTTAAAGTTGATTAGATCTCTCGTGTTATTTACATGACTGTAAAATTATAAATGGTAAGTTAATTTTCTCCTGTTGCTGTAACAAATTACCACAAACTTAATGGCTTAAACTAACGCATATTTATTGTCTTATGTTCTGTAGGACAGAAATCGAGCATGTTTCTTTGCATACTAAAATCAAAGTGTTGGCATGGCTGCATTCATTTCTGTAGGCTCTAAGGGATAATCTGTTTCATTGCTCATTCAGTTTGTTGTTAGAATTCAGTTCCTTACATTTATAAGATTGTGGTCTGAGTTTCCTTACTGGCTGTCACTGAGAGTGTTCCTGTTTTCTGGAGGCTGCCTGCATTCTTTGGCTTGTGGCCCCTTCCTCTGTCTTCCAAACCAACAATGGTGGGTCAAGTCATTCTTTCACTTTGAATCTCTCCTGCCTTTTCTGTCGTGTATCTCTGACTAACTCTTCTGCTAGCCTCTTCCATTTTAAGGCCTGTGTGATTACCTTGGACTCACTGGAGTAATCTGAGAAAATCTCCCTATTTTAAGGTCTATCCTATTAATTTCATCTACAAAGTCCCTTTTGCCAAGTAAGGTAACATATTCACAGGGTCCAGGCATTAGGGTGTACACATCTTTGGAGGGCCATTATTTTGCCTACCACATATGCTTTATTTGCTTTAGTTTTGTTTTCAAATATTTCAATAAACTGTTTGCAAAACAGCCTCTTACAACCAGAAAATATAGTTAAAACAAGCAACAGTGAAACAGGAGCATATGATATTTGAATAGGTGGTACCAAATGACTACTGGAAGGAGTTGGAATTAAATCCAGTTACCAGCTACACCTGTACTTTACTATGACAAACTAATTCTCTAGTCTGAGTGATTTACTCTTTATCTCTAAAACCTGTTTGTTTTTCTACCTCTCTTCTTGTTTACAATGTTTACTCCCATTTGGGGTGTTGTTTGGCTTTCTCTCTTTATATCCAAATCCCATCTCAACCTTCCAGGCAGTGCTTAGGTTCTGTATCTTCCTGGAACTGACTGTGACTCCAGTAAATCTCAGTGACTTCCTGTCTCTGAACACTAAGCGCTGGAAATATTTCTTTAGCACTCAGTAGTATGCTACTCTAGTATTGCTTAACTTTTCACACTATACCTTTTCTCTCTAGTTAGAGTTCCACTTTCTCAAAGGCAAGGGCATTGCCTCAGATTTCTCTGTGCTTTCACAACATTAACATAGTGGTTCCAATCTGTGGGTCTTTGTCTCCTAGGGACTATGAAGTCATTTTAAGATATCTCCAAGTCTACACATGCATATGTTTTTCTTTCTAGTCAGTGCATCCTACATAATGTACTGCTGGTATGAAGTCCTCATACCAGGAGGATGGGAATTTTCTGAACAAGTTCTAAGTTTGTTGGACATAGTAAGCATTTGTAAGCATTTTATGGATAAAATTAGAATAGTAAAATAAAGAAAATGTTTGGTGTAGAGATTTTCAATAGTTTAAAATTCAAACTACTTTGAAATTATATTAATAATTTTATTACCATATATCAGTTATGGATATTAACATTTTTAACAAACTGATTAAAGATTGCTCCTGAGGGAAGGAACTGATAATGTATTTTTAGTACTCTCCCCCTCTTCCCTTATATTGCCATGTGTATGGTGGTAATTCAGTAAATATTTGTTCATTGATTGATTTCTTTGAATTGTAGTTTTTTATAATAACATGGATGATCACTTAAAGTTATATAACTACTTAAACTTAAATTTTTTGTTTGACAGCATAAATTAGTTTTTGATTGGCATATTCTCTAGGTTTTTCTAAGCATTTATTCCCCTGGACGTATGCTATAGAATTTAGGCTCCTGATATACAGTGGACATAATAAAGACCTAATTTTAATTTAATAAAAGTTATGTTAATTATTTTTCAGGTGAATGCAGAACATTGACACAAGAATCATGTGATATATCTCCAGTATTAATGCAGGCAATGGAAGCCCTGCAGGATAGACCCATCTTATATAAGTTGGTGACTTTCTTCTTTTCTTAACTTTTACTTTTTCTTTTTTTTAAAACTCCAACGATAATGAGAAGTGACTTTCTTCTAATTAAAAAAGAAACTCTACTTTTCCTTTGATAATTTACATTAATGTTCAGAATTATCAAATTCATATATAATAGCTTGAGTAATATTTATAATAATTTACAATGATCTTTTCATCTCAACTTGTATGTATATCATTGGCATATCAGCTTATTTGAATATTATATGCTGTAGAATACAATACGGAGAGGAAAATCAAGGTGTCCCTGCATCTAGATTACCTCTTGTTTATATAGAGGTTAAGCGGCTTTTCCCTAGTCTGTCATCTTATTAACTCCCTTGGAATTGTAAGCTGTTAAAACTCCTGTATCAAACATGCCTAGAGGGAAAGAAGTCATATTGGGACTGAGAGAAATAATTACCCAGAGATGAAAGTATCAGTGTTCTATTAATAGAATTCAAGGAAAGAGAGGGTTCAAGTCTTTGATCCTGTAAGTTATGCCTACCAAGAGTTATGTGGTAATGCTTTAGGTAACAATCCTATGCATTTAAAACTTGTTATATTTTTTATTTTTGTATTTTAATTTTACTTTTTGTTTCTCATAAAATAAAAAGTAAATCCTTTTTGTTTTAAGTAGTATGAGAATTAAGCTTTAGGTAGACCAAGGGGTTGATGATAATTTAGGAAACAGAAAACTAGGGTACTATACCAAGGTATTGAATCCCGCTCTGAATCATCCCTTTTAGATATCACTTATACTATTTTTAGAAGATTTCCCATTACCTTCTGGTTGGAACATTACTTATCCTATAATAAGTTTATAGGACACAAACTCTGGGACAACTTTATAAAGTAATAACACTCAAGTGCTACTTACTGAGTATCATGTGTTAAGCACCATTCTAAATACTAAAGACACAACATCACTAAAACATTGCCCTCAAATTGCTCTATTTTATGGAACCAAAAATAAACAAATACATTTTAATCAAATATATTAATTGTATAGTCTAAGGTCATGTCCCAGGTGCCATGTGGATCAGGTATTCTGGGGTAGGGGAAAGAGATGAACATCAGGGAAAGTTTCATAACGGAAGTAAGTACAAAGTGAATTCTGATGGTTGAATAGGCCTTTTCTTAGAAGAAAAGGTAGGACAGAACATTTCAGGTTGAGGGACCAGCAGGTACAAAGTTGTGGATTGAGAGCAAACCTGTACCTTTGGGAATTAGTTGCAAAAGCTTGCACTGGCTCTTGAATTAGTAGCAAAGGCCACATCATAATAGGCCTGAGTGTTGTACATATGTGTATAATAAACTAATGTTCACTGTTGAATAACAGTTTCGCAGTTTATTTCTGTTTTGAAATTTCTTTCCCAACTTTTTCACTTTAAGATATTGGCATTGATTATGAATCTTTTATTACTTTAAATATTTTCGATGTTTGATTTTAATTAGGTGTTACATTGTCTACAGATTAATATTTTTTCACAAGGTTAATCTTTTAAAAAAGATTTGTATGTTTTAGACACCTGAAAAGGACAACTGACTTCTACCATGCAAATAAATTTTTACTAAGTTATAATTCTTGATCAACACTTGGAAAGGACCAATATTGAATTAATGGTTTATAAGGTGGGCTCTTGAGTCAGATTTATTTGACAAGGCCTTAAACCTTTATAAGCTTCATTTTTCTTGGTTGTACGACGAGTATAATAATAGTGCTCATTTTACAGAATTGTGAAGATTAAGTTTGTTCACATAAGGTGCTTTGCATAATGCTTGGCACATCACTAATTTTTAGGTATTATTTTGATTTTGAGAGGAAGTGACGAGAAAGCTCTCAGCTAAAGAGGGGTGTATTTAAGGCCTACCTGACAACCAGGCAAAAAGCTTGAAAGACAAAGAATGGAGCCATAAATAATAGAGAAGCCAAGGCACATGCCAGGGAACAGGACAATAATGGCAATTTGGGAAATTTTATGAGGTGTTTGGAAGTTGAGTGGGGAAGTAAGTTTTTAAGGCCAGATGATTGAGATAAGATAAATGCTAAAAAAAAGAAAATTGGCTTAATATTTGATTAAGTAATCAAATATTTTTTCAAAGTGATAGTTTCCTTAAATTTAGGAAAAACTTAATAATGTATCATGTTAACCACCAGATGGCACTGTATGAACTTTTTAATATAAAAGCTTCACTATTCATTGTTGTGTCTCAAATGTGTAGGTAGTGTGTGTAAGAAAAATGTCAATTATTGGAGGCCCTGTGGAAAGTTGCCATACTCAGTGTTTTTTAGGTAGGATAGAATGTTAATGCATTATTTACTTATAGTAAATCAAGTGTAGAAACTTCTTTAAAAAATGATTTATTATAATTGAAGTGAAAAAAATTTAATGAATTCTTTCGTTTGGTAAATCTTCAGAATATAAGTTATTTAACAGTATAATAATAGGCATATAGCTGAGTTTTCTTTATTCTTTATGTATTTGTTGTATTCTAAAGAGGAGCTTCTACACTATTCTTTTCTCTTTTAACTTGTTTTTTGATCAGAATTTTTCTTCTTTTAATTTACTTTTTGACCAGAATTTTTCCGTTTTTTAACTATAGCTAAACATGATTTTAAAAATGGAGCTTTTAACTCCATTTTTAAAATGGAGTTAAATCTTTTAACTGGAGACATTTTAGAATATTTACATAATTTGAGCATTTGCCTTTATAAAAATACATTTTGGATTTTTGATCATTGTTTTAAGGGAGTCTGTTTTGGGTCAAAATTTTTTTCTGTTTCTAGGAAGTATGTTTCATGTCTCCAGATGTCATTGAAGGTTCACTGTGGCTCATGCTGTTTTTGCTTTCAATTATGTTTATTCTATAGGAAGATTAATATTAATGTTTACTGATATTTCATATTATTGAACAGATTAAATTCCAGTGTTTGCCAGGCTGGTAATCCCCACCCCACCCCAACCCCCAGTTACCAGTAGGTTAACTTTTTTTGTTATAACAGTAGTACCAGTGAACAGTCCTAAAAAGAAATTATGTTATTGTTACTGTGGTTTGTAGGGTGTTGGGAGTGAGGATTAGTTTTATACATTTAAAAAGTTAAACATTTCTGAATTTTGTGCTTTCTTAAGTAGTCATCTGATGATAAGTTTGTTATTTCATAGAATCCAGGAATCATTTAAAAGAAGGACTTCTTCACACTTAACAGATTTATAATTTAAAAGCATGGGAGGGAAAAATAGAAGTGAGCGTTTTGGTTCTAATTTGCTTTAAAAATAGAAAGTAAATGCAAGGCAATTATGCAATTTAGCGAAAATTAGGTGGATATTGCACTTTCTCTTTCCTATACTAGTATGTCACTGCAGGGAACTTCAAAACGTTTCTTTTTAACTGAAAACAAACACACAATGTACCACAGTCTAGTAATAGTAAACAGCCCTCAAAAGGGGTTCAAATTCCTAAAAATTTATAGCATTTCACCACATCTCCAGACTTGCCGTTTTATTTGGAAATAATTCCTCTTCAATTTTCTTGTATTTAACAAAATGTGGCTTTTTCATTCAGTCAGCAGCATATGAAAGAAAGCAGTATAGCCTAAGAAATGATTTTTTTTGGAAATTTTTGGGAAGTTTTGATGATTTTTCTGTATGTATAGGTTAATGAAACTTTAAAATTTGGTCTGGAAGAATATTGTTTAGGGATTTAAAAGTTTATGGTTCTAGAAGAATCTGCTAACATTGGACTGATAAAAAATATTTTTTTTTCCTGTATACGTTTAAAATAGAAAGAAATTTCAACTTGGAATGAGTCTAAGGAATGGGGGTGATAATGGGCAACAAGGGCTGAGTCGAGTCAAAGAAATGGACACTGTTGGCAACTCCAGACCATCTTCATAAATTGCATCTCAAATTGTCCTATCCCCGAGTTCGAGTTCAGGGCTTTCCATTCCTTCCAGTTCTTTCACCTTATTATAGAAAACTTTTTCTCTCTTTTTAATTACAGTGGGTGACTTCTAAATATATATATTTTAAAAATATTTGCTGTATATGCATGATTAGTCAGTAAATTTAAGGAACATTTAATTTAAATATCTAATATTGAGGTCAAAATAAGCTTTAAAAAATGGATAGCAATGTTGGGGGCAAATTTTGGTGGTAAATTGTGATAGAATGTGTAGAGGATCATTTTTTAATATAGAAGAAAAGAATTTTTGGATTGCAGAGTTCTAATTAAATAACCAGCTTCTGAGTACTAGATATTATGACTTCACGTAAAACACTAGAGCATCATGCTTTGGACTGCAAATATGCTGAAACTTGAAGAGTTAGGGATTCTCACCTTCGTTTGATTTTCTTTTACTAAATTCATTGCTCTATCCCTTATGGCTGCTTCCCCTGTTTTAGTCCCAAATCGCAGCATTCTTTCTTGGAAGGAGTAAAAAATTGTACCTTTAGATTGAATTTTCAATATGCTAAAGTTATGTCATAAATCGTTTTTTTCTTATTTAAAAGCAATATTCTTTGAAGGAGTGCCTAAAAGAGCTGTGTCTTGCTTATCTTAGAAATTGCATGAATAGTCTGATATAACCAATAGGAAAAAATGCCAACTGCTTTTCCTGTAACCTGTTTCTTCTAGGTATACCTTAGATGAATTTGGAACAGCCAGAAGAAGTACAGTTGTTCGTGGATTTATTGATGCTCTTACAAGAGGGGGCCCAGGAGGTACACCTAGACCTATTGAAATGCACTCTCACGACCCTTTGAGGTATAGTAATCAGAAAACAGTAGATAGGGTTTGATGTTTTTTTCCAAGGAAATATTTACTAATATTTAGTTTCCATTAGGTATGTGGGAGATATGTTGGCTTGGCTCCATCAAGCTACTGCTTCTGAAAAGGAACACCTTGAAGCGCTCTTGAAGCATGTAACTACACAAGGTAGGTGCATCTATTGTTACCGTTAACACCTAATTATAGAAAATAACATAAGCTTTTCTGTTTCTATTCTTGTTGCCTTCTTCTTCACAGCAGTAAATAAACACTTCTCACCTAGATAGTACAGGGTGTCCTAATTACTCTTTCTCTAGATTCTCCCTTGTTTTGCTAGTAGACCTTCTCCTCCGTCACTTTCATCCGACTCAGCTGTTCAGTCTTATAGTCGGTACTTAAAACTTTTCATATCAAGCCTAGATTCCTCTACTTTACTTTTAAGACATTTCTGGAGTGTCTAGCATATACTATCTCAAATCCCTGCCATGATACTTTAAAGATAAAGAGTGGTGTTATCTTCATTTTATCTGTGAGTAAACAGACTGAGTGACTTCCTTAAGGTCATTAAGCTACTAATTCTTTCATTTCTACTACCCAGCTTCTTTTTTTCATTCTCATGGGACTGTTTTTTTTTAAATAATTACCATATGTATTAAATATACTTTAAATTTTTGTATTGATTTCAAGGAAAAAATGTCTGTATTTCAGAGTTGTTGATACCGTGTTTATAAAATTCCAAACCTTAGTTGTGATTACCTAAAAAATGCCTGTTGCAAAGTTTCAGGGCTTAGTGTGTGATTAAAAGATGTTCTATTTTTGATAGGAAGTAAAGAGACATATTGTGACCTGGTAGCACTTGACCGTTTTGCTTAGCTCAGCCACACGTCACCGTGGTTTATCACCTGGTCTGCAGGAGAGGCCAGCATACAGATTGGTGGTAATACTTAACCTCATAGCTTTCAACGCTTCAGTACTGAGATTTGACTCAGCATATATGTTAATAGGCACAAAGTCTGCATTTTTTAAAAGTTTTTTTTCTATTATTATTCGGATTACCCAGTTTAAAAGAATGTATTTCTTTAAAAATGTTTTAGAAAAGTATATATGAGAGACAGTATTGATTATTAAAGAGGTGGGAAGCAAATAGATTGGAATTAGAGGAAATAAGTTATTCTGTGGGAATGACTTAAATCTTCTGAGCCTCAGTTTGTTCATCTGTGAGAATGAAGGTGGGGACAAGCAGTAAATGTCGAGTACTCAGCAAAGTACTTGATAAATAGTACGTATTTAGAAAATAACACTTTTTCCATTAGATTGCAAGATGTGGTTTTCATCTTTTTGCCTTCAGCTTTTGTGCTCACCAGCACTGTCTGAAATAAGGTGTTTATATTAATAAAAACAAATGCTAATAACATCTTCACATCACTTTCTTCAGTTGATAAATTTCATAGTCTTTTTATCCTGTCCCGTACATTTAGTCTTTTCCACAAAGAAATAATGTTCATTTTATTAACTCAACAGTCAAATGAATCAACAAGAATTTCTAGATATACATTAGTTATTAAAAATAGCAAACTTAATAAAATATTACTATAGTTATTTTAAATGTTATATTAGTGCTATTCATATGTATCATTGTTATTAGCCTTTGAACTAATATGAAGCAAAGTATAATAAAAAATTTTAATTATATAGTAATTAATTTTAGGTGTTGAAGAAAGTATTCAAGAAGTTGTTGGGCATATTACCGAGGGTGTGTGCAGGCCTCTAAAGGTAAAATGTTTTGTTTTTATGTATGTTTTTATATGGTATCTGGTTAAATTATTGCCTTATTTTTATGAATTTAAAGAAACCGATACCAACTTGAACTCAAGCTGTAATTTTGGCAACTTAACACATTAATATAAACTAATTAATATATGTAAAAATAATCATTGCCAATTTTCTCTGTAAGGAAATTGGAAATAAATTCTTAGTTTGCACATATTGACTTCTTTTTACAGGTTGTATTTCCTGTGGTAATTTATGTTAATCGAGGAAGGGTCTTTTAAAAAGAACATGTTCTATTTGTTGCTTCAAGCACAGTACATTTTTTTGCTTATCATAGCAATAAATAATAATCCAAGGATAAAATAATATTATGCATTGATATTATTAACACTGCTCGTAGTATAAGGAACAGAATTTGGAGTCAAACTTGGGTTAGAATTCCCACTTTGCCATTTAATTGTGTTCACTTTTTCTAGTTGCTAACTTTTGTACCTTCATTTGCTCACATTGAACATGTATATAAAAATACCTACCATCCAGGGTTGTTGTGAAAATTAGATAAAATTTTTGTCACTTAATAAGCCTGCAACAGATGCTCCTTTCTTTTATTAATATTTATGAAATACTTGGCAATTATGGGTTTCATTTTCTTGTTGATTGACTTCAATTTAGTATGTAGAAATTGAAATCCAGAAGTTTTATGATTTATTCTTATCAAGAAGTAAATTTTAAAACTAATTTTCTTTTATTTTTGACATTTTCATTGGTATGTTGTCTCAGGCAAGGAGATCTCAGATGATATACCCTATGACAATTGATTCTATTTACAAATTTAATAATTACTGTAACTTGATTATCTTAAGATCTAATTATATATTCATTAAATAATAGCAAAGTATTTTGAAATGATTTTACTTGTTTCTCCCAAATGAAATATTTATTTGCCAGTTGATTTTCAGACATTCATAGTTCATATAAATGTTGCTTATTTTGTATACTGTAAGTTATTGGAAAGATAAAAAAAGAACAGGGAGAATAAAAGTAAGTTGTATTTTTCTGGACTCTTCATACCTTTTTATAACTCCATATAGTTAAGTGAAACTCCTAGTCACTTTGATAAGTAAATAGTACTTCATCTGCCTTTCCTTTTCCCCCTCCTTTACTTACAGTATTATGTTTCTTATTACAGCTTTTCTTTTCTTTTTTAAAAGTGCTTGTACAAAGTATCATAATTCTAGAATCTGAGGGTTGAAATGAACCTTAAAATTTCCTGTCCTGGTCTGAGTAAGAAATGTTATTATGTTAAAAATGTTTAACACATTAACTGCCATGTGAATTGTATTTAACTCATGCTAATTTTGAGCCGGGGTCCTCATGAAGCATATGTAACTCACAAGTCTCTTCTCCTTAGGAGCCGCATGAACTATTTGTCAAGTTGTATATAACTTGTGCACAGAAAACAATAAAAAATAACACATTTTTCATTAAATGATAAAGTTTTTACTCTATTTTCTTAATGAAGCACTGTGGCCCCAAGGAAAATAATTATTTTTCTAGCATGGTAGTCAATATGTTAAACTAACACTCACTGCTTATTTAAAGAAATTATATACGGGTGGTCTGTTTTTGTTTTAAAATATACTTAGAAATTTTCATTCCATCTTCCCTAAATGTATATGCCCAGAAAGATGTATATAACAATAGTAATATGTTATTGTGATCCCCTGACAAATTTTAATATAAGATACCAAAGGTAAAAAAGAAACTAGTAAGCAAGCATCTGTTTGTTGTAAAATGAAGAAAATTCCCTTTAGTTTCTGAAGTTAACAGAAACGTTAAATCTTTTTCATGGATAGTAATATTTGTTGCATACTTCAGAGAATAGTTAGCAAATGTTCACAGTAGCTATACATCAAATTAGCTTGATAGTGATATAAAATCTAACAACTCTTACACTTCCCTTTCCTTATATACACAGGGACAGTGTTATACTATGTTAAGAATTTTCTTTCTGTATGACCTCATTTGGGCATCTCATAGTTATTTATTAGCTGAGGAAAAACAATCTTACATTAATATTTTGTTTTGCAATTATAATTCTGATTGTTATTCTTAGTGATCTATGTGTTTTTACATTAATATAAAATTTCTTCTTAATTGATAAGCAGCTAACCTTTCATAATGGTATATAATAGTAGATGTTTTGGCTACTTTTCTGTCACTCATTTTTCTTTTTCTGAAGTGATGGTCCTTGCTAAAAAAAAAAATAAGAAAATAAAAGTAAGAAATTATAAAAAATTATTTTTCTTTGTGGGAATGACTTCTTTTTCCTAAATCCTGTGGAAGATTTTGATTTTTAGAAGCATAAAGAAAAATTTGTAATGGTACTAGGAGATATCCTTGAGAAACTATATATTTGATTTATTCTACCCTGTTTAACCTTTTCTTTGTCTTAATAAAGTGAAATTTCTTAGGTAGTAAACTAAATATTTGTAAATATACACATTAAGATAAGATCTTTAAACTTATTGCCAGCTTTAAAATTCTGTGCGCTTAGGAATGGATTAATAAAATGTGGTATATGTACACCATGGAGTACTATTCAGCTCTAAGAAACAATGGTGATATAGCACACCTTATATTTTCCTGGTTAGAGCTGGAACCCATACTACTAAGTGAAGTATCCCAAGAATGGAAAAACAAGCACCAGATATATTCTCCAGCAAACTGGTATTAACTGAGTAGCACCTAAGTGGACACATAGGTGCTACAGTAATAGGGTATTGGGCAGGTGGGAGGGGGGAGGGGGGCGGGTATATACACACATGGTGAGTGAGATGTGCACCATCTGGGGGATGGTCATGATGGAGACTCAGACTTTTGGGGGGGGGGGAAATGGGCATTTATTGAAACCTTAAAATCTGTACCCCCATAATATGCCAAAATAAAAAAAATAATTAAAAAAAAAATGACATATATTATGTAGAGGACACTGTGGCATATCAGCATCAAGCCTGTTACTTTGCACATTTCTTTTTTTTTTCCAGCATCTTATGGGGGTACAAGTGTTTAGGTTAACGTGTGTTGCCTTTCCCCCTGCACATTTCTTCACTCCACAGCTGTAGCTAGAAACATCAGAATTAATTTATTCAATCTTTGTTTTTCAAGTCCTTGGATATGATAATGCCTCTGTTATGTGAATGTTTTACATTACTGACAGATTATCAGCTATCATTTGGATTTTCCCTTTTAATAAAAATTTTAGTGTATTGTGTACTCCTCACCTTCCTAAGTTATGGCAGGTTCTGTGAAAATAGGTGCATATACAAAGATGAGTGGCATGGAAAACAGAGCTCAGTACTGTATTACATGATAGTCATTGTGCCCTCAGATTGCTGAGGCATATTAGGGAACAAATGTCTGCTCTGCACAGCTGTCTGTGATTTTAAGGTAAAGGAGTTTCGTTACTCCTTTCAGTCTTCCCTTCTCTCGTCCCCTTCTCTGTAAACGCAAATTTGTTCTTTCTTTCTCTTTTCTGTGCTCCTGCTCTAGCTCTCTCTCTGGCCTTGGAGAGGAGAGCCACTATTCTGTCTTTTAGCTCTCCCCTACCTTCTCTGCTGTCAGCTTTCCTGCAGCCCATTTTGTTACTTTGAATATCTGCCTTCATCACTGATGCCACTTCTAGTAATGCAGTTAAGGATTTATTGAGTGCTTATAAGTGCTGGGGACTGTTCCATGCACCTTATATCTGAGCCATTATTCCCATGGCCACTCTCCAGCTCTGCTAATGCCATATTTTTCCTCCAGTGTCATCACCATGATAATTTCTAGTCAGTTGCTGCTGCCACCACTTCTTTAGGCTCTCTTGCCCTTTTTCCTTTTTAATTCTTGTTTCTCTTGTCTCCTGTTGTTTTTCCTGTGATTGCTGGCTTTTGCTGAAAATGGTTGGCATCTTTTATAGCCCTCAAAAGACAGAGTGTTTCTTTCTGTGTGGCAGACAAAGCAGTCTTGGTGTATCATGTGTTAATCTCCTTATTTTTCAGTGTTCTCTGTTGTATTCTGTATTGTAGCTGAAAGGATGCCACTTTCCCTCAAAACCTTTGTGTGCGTGTGGAGAGAGATGGGACTTGGTTTTGTTTTTGTTTTTATCCTTCTTCTGCCTTCCATTCCCTCTTTTCTTTTCTTTCCTCCTTTTGCTCTCGTCTCTCCTTTCTTCTTTCTTAAGGAAGTTAGAATGAAGAGTCTTTTCTTGATGCCTCAAAATTCTTGTAGGCAGGTCACCAGATAGCTGAAATGGTGTTATAAATTTGCTAGGGACGAACTGTCTCTCTACAATTAACATCTTTTATATTTTGCTCTAATGATTATGTTAAAATTCATAAAATATCACATTTATTGATATATAATTTAAATCACTGTTGAGGTTTTGGTCTAAAAATAAATTATAATATGAAAATTATGGTTTTTAAATTCAGATGCCATTCATGGTATGTGGTATTGTGGTAGATAGTCTATTGTGTTGTGCCAAAAGATAAATCAGTTTCATAAACATTAATGTAAATGTAAATTAATTTATGTAAGAGGTTTTTGTATGCTGACATACGTACATTTATAAAATCTCATTTTAGCAAATCACATTTGTTGGCATTATGACATATGTCAAAATCTAAGTACAGAGAAAGTTCAACTTCCAAAAGCATTTATTAAACATCTGTTGTGTGTGTACTGTTCTACTAGATGCTACAGAGATGTAAAAGGAGCAGAAAATACAATGTCTATAAGGTATTTGTGCTTAGAAAAGCATTAGCCAGGAAAGCAAGAACATACTTAATACAATGTAAGCAGTAGCTTAAGGGCAGATATAATTCAATTTGTGTTATATAAGTAAGCATATATCAGTGTGCTTTAGATTGTATTCATTACTGAGGGGATGTAATGTAAGAAAGATCAGTGAGGGATTAAATTTAATTAGAAAAGGTTTGTGTTGGCTAATCTTGAGGCAGATCAAGTTAATCTTGACCTACTAATAGATCTGATTTTGCCCTGGTAGTCTAATATTCATAATTAGGCAAATGTGTTGGTACTAATTTAAGATTTGTCTGCTTTCCTATTCTTTGATTAATAGACAAATAGAAACTTTGGTATTAATATACCAATAGAAACTTGGTATTAATATATTACTTTAAAGGCAAGAATTCTTTCATTTTTTCTGAATATTTGGCAATATATTTTCATTGATAATGTGCTTTTAGGGATGTAGCAGCTGCTTTTGTGATTTAGTATTGAAGTAAATTATTACTTACGTAGTGGTGATAAACCTCAGAATGATCTCATTGTATTGGTATTTCTGATAACAACTGCCTTGAGCCAAATGCTGCCAATAATCAATCGTATTTTTGTAGAGTATATCTGTGTTAAAGTGTTTGTTACTTTACCATCCCCTTTGACTTAATTCTCAGAAATTATTTTATTTAGAAGGCCTTTTGTGAACTCTGCAATAATAAAATCGTGTCTTTAATTTTATGTTGTTTATACCACATGTCATTAATGAAGAAAAGTTATACTTTTAAAAAATACTTTTAAGAACTTTCTTCTCACATGTTTTAATAGGTTCGAATTGAACAAGTAATAGTTGCCGAACCTGGAGCAGTTTTACTATATAAAATTTCTAATCTCCTCAAATTTTACCACCATACAATCAGGTAAGTGGAATGGAGAAATGTGCTTGTTAAATTCTGTGCGAATTTGTTTTTCATTTAGAGAGAAGTGTAAGATTTTTTTGGTTTGTTTTCACTGTGTATACTAAATATATACTACATATAGAATAAGTATAACTAGTAGACCTTCCATACTGTGTGAACCGTTATTTGCATGTTATACATGCTGTACCTGGAGTCTTCCTGAATTAGTAAAAGAGATCTATGGCAACTACCTGTTATATTCACAGTAGGGCATAATGAATGAAATATCCTGTTCTAGATGGAAATAACTTAAATTCTCCTTTAACATTTAGTTTACTATAAGTGATAAAATAGAACCATAACTTTATCTTCTTTATACAAAAGCAGTTTATCAGATTAGGAATCCCACTTGTCTTATCTCAAATGTGATCTTTGACTGCAAAGTTTACATTCATTTTTGCTTTGCATATAGCCATTAGTAGTATACACTTGAGCTTTATTATAACTGTCACTATATAAGACTATGTTATATGTATAGTTGTGTTCAAACAATGTCTTTCCACGTTATATTTTTGATAGTTTCCATATTTTCCATTTAAAAGTTATTTTTAAATTACTTGTTATCCAGTATGTTGGTATCAGGAACAAAAAGCCAGCTGTTTACAGTCCAGATACAGGATAGGTTCAGGAATCACTAATTCACAGAGCACCAAAAAAAACTGTGGTAACATCATCACCTACCCCTTAGTGACCGAGAGTAGCCACCCGAAACTCACAGCTAAGAAAATGGGTTCATATCTTATTGGTAGATTTTCAAACAAAACTAAGAAGCCATTGGCTACAAAACTTATCAGAGATAGGATTTGGATTAGTCCCCTAATGTTTTAGATATAAACTTATTATTTCTCATGACTTAAAAGCAATGAATTTGTTTCAATTGTAATGTTATAGGCTTCCTAAAATAAGATAATGATACATACTTAGAAAATACAAGGGAAGCTGAAAGCAGCTAGATGTAGCAAATGCTGTGGTATAAAAACATGCTGGTAAAGTAATTTTCTAAATTGTTTGTCTTTTAAGATGATGCTATTAACCATGACAGTTAAAATCTTTTGATACATTTTTTGCATATACTTTTTCTACTTGTTCACGTATTTCCTCATTTAGTCAATTAAAAAATTGAATAATACCTGTTACTGTTCTAGGTGCTAAAGAAACAGCAATGAACAAAACAGAGCTTAAACTTACATTCCAGTAGGGGAGACAAACAATTAAGCAAGTATCAATAATTTTAGGTAGTGATAAGGAATTGAAAAGAAAGGAAATAGTCTAGGGAGTGGCCATGTATTGAGTGTGTGATTATTTTTGAAGGTCTTTCGGTAGAGGTGATACTTGAACAGAGACCTGAATAACGTGAAGGAGTTGGGCATGAAAGAATCCTGGAGAAGAGTGTTCTAGGCAGAGATATACTCTGGTCCTGAAGCTAGGGAAAGCTTGCATTTTGGAGAACCAAAAGGAAGACTTGTGATTGGAGGGTAGTGCGTGTTAAGGAGTAGAGGGAGATGAAATCAGAAAAGTAGAGATGATGAGTTAGACTAGGGCGATAGTCTTGGAGGTGATGAAGAATAGTTGATTCTGGAGATAATTTATGTTATAGCCAATAGAACATAAAAATGGACTAAATGGAGTGAGATGTGAGGAGTCAAGGATGAATTTTTGGCTTTTGGTTTGAACAGCTGGGTGAATGGTATTGTTTGCTGAGATGGGGAATGCTGGTGAGGTACAAGTTGGTGGGGCTGGAGGGTAGTGAAGAGGTCAGTCCTGTTTTGGCCATGTCAGACTTGATGTACCTGTGAACATACAGTAGGAGATTTTGAGTGAGCAGATAATGCAGAGAGGAATCAGAGCTGAAACTATATATTTGGTAATTTTCAGCACATAGGTGATATTTGAAACAAGGAGACAGGTAAGATCACTTAAGGAGTAAATGTAGATAAAGTATAAGGCTTAGGACTGAGTTCTGGGGAGCTCCAATATTTAGAGGTAAAGACAAGGAGAAATGACAGAGAAAACTGGGAAGGCATAGCCAGTGAAGTTGGAAAAAAAAACAAGAAACATGCAAGATCTCAGGAAATTTACGTCCTATAAATGTTAAAACTCCAAAAAAGAAAAAAAAAAAAAAGAGATATGGAATCCAGGAAATTGAGCAACTTGAAATTGAGCAGCTACATATCCTTTCCTATAAAATTTTCTCCCTGGAGTTAATAATTACTTTGTTTTTGTACTTGCTTGCTTTCGTTTGCCCTTATCACTATTTCAGATCCAAGCCATTAAGTGCATTGTCTCACCGTATAGCCAAACACCTCATGTAATCAATCCTTTTCTCTCCTGCCCCTTTCTGATATTTTTGTGGGAGCCCTCATTTTCCTCCAATCTAGGTGGGTTGCTCTCCAGGCCTACTGCGTGCCTCGTGGCTGTCACACTGGAGTTCTCTTCTTCACCAGTCTGCCCATTCCCTTGTTTTAGGTGTCCCTTATTCTTTGGTCCCCTCTGAATAGTATTTACATGCTTGTGATGGTAAACACTGAGTGGTTAACATTGAATGGTTATTTAGGAGAACCCTGTGATCATAACTATGTCATGAAGCCTGGGGAAGGTGGTGTGGGTGTATTGTGGTAGGGAAGGAGAATTGTGTAAGAGAGTTTAACTCTCACCTTCTATGTCAGGGAATTTGTATATAATACCTAAACCTGAAAAGTCAGTAATAGGAGTGTAAGCATGTTGGGTAGAAATATGGAATGAAATATCAAAAGAAGCATCTTACAAGTATCTGGGCCAGTTACTAGTACCTAGTGAATGCTCAATAAATATTAGTAAATTCTAGAGATAAGTAACTGTAAAGTATAGATGATAACTTCATATTTTAAAAAATTAATGTAAATATGTCTTGACATCTCTCCAATTTTATTATCAGTTTCTAGTTGCATTAATTTAATTTCCAATGTTGCTTGATGTATACTTCAGAGGAATACTTGCTTTTATTTCAGGCAAAAGCTTGTGTAGGAATTCCTTCCCATTTATTTTGATGTTTGGCTTATAATATTTTTAGCTGAAATACTTTTTGTTTCTTTTAAATAAAAGCATTATGGCTACCTATTAAGTAATTTGCTTATATTTTGCTGTTTCATTTTTTAAAATGACAATTTGCTTTGTTTCCATGAACTATATAAGAGTCATCCAATTTATTTTAGTTTAAGAAGGAACTGAAATACATAGTAATACTATTTGTTTTTATAATATATGTGGTATATCATTTTCAAGTAAATTTGCTGTGTTTTTAGCTCACTGTCAATGATAATTGGTACCATTATATTTGTCTTCAGCAATCTAAATTTTTTTTTTTTTTTTTTTTTTTTTTTTGAGACAGAGTCTCGCTTTGTTGCCCAGGCTAGAGTGAGTGCCGTGGCGTCAGCCTAGCTCACAGCAACCTCAAACTCCTGGGCTCGAGTGATCCTTCTGCCTCAGCCTCCCGGGTAGCTGGGACTACAGGCATGCGCCACCATGCCCGGCTAATTTTTTATATATATATCAGTTGGCCAATTAATTTCTTTCTATTTATAGTAGAGACGGAGTCTCGCTCTTGCTCAGGCTGGTTTTGAACTCCTGACCTTGAGCAATCCGCCCGCCTCGGCCTCCCAAGAGCTAGGATTACAGGCGTGAGCCACAGCGCCCGGCCAATCTAAATTTTTTTAAGCATAGTAAGGTGTTAGTTTGCCTTTAGAAATTATGATTTCCTGCTGGATTACAGAGTATTTTCACATCCACAAAAAACTTTTCCCCTAAAAAAATTTGAAAGTCATGTTCAGTATATGAATTAGGAGAATAAAATTAGAAATTATTTTATATACATACTTGTCTTAGATCTTGGCAAAAATGTAAACCCTCTTGAAGGGGTCTAAGAAATATCCTTGTATAGTAATAGCAAATTGAGGATCATGGAATGTGCTAATGGAATCAATAATTTTAAAATATTACATTAGACATTTCATAATTAGTCTATACCGCTATTTAGGCAGCTGTATAAAAATTGAGAAACTTTATAAGTTATAGTGTGTTTTTGCTATAGTTTTAATTAAAAGAACTCAGTAATTACATAATTTAAATATTTTAGCAATAAAGCTATTGATGGAATGCTTTTCTTCAAATGAGATCTTCTTGGATAAGAATAGAGGAAAAATAGAGATATGGGTTTATATATTACAAATGTCTGTTATAACCCACAGTTTTACTAAAAAGATTGTAAAATATTAAAAACATTTTTGAATTGCCTAACTCAAAATCTAGATTTTCCTAAAGCATTATACTCAAAGAACTGAATTGTTCTCGGTTTCTATTTTGCAACCTGAAATATTCTTTGCTTTTAGTGGCATTGTTGGAAATAGTGCAACTACGTTGTTGACTACCATTGAAGAAATGCATTTGCTAAGCAAAAAAATATTCTTCAATAGCTTGAGTCTTCATACAAGTAAATTAATGGACAAGGTATGTTTGAAAAATATGATTCTTAAACTATATGAATGGAAATCTTTCACATTTAAAGATGTTGTTTTACTGTTTTTACATTGGTTGATGATTTTTTTCCATTACATACTATGTTCTTTTGAGTTCTTCTGTGAACAACAAACTTCATTTAGAGTTGACTTACTGGACCTAGGTGAATAATTTGTACTCTTGAAACAGTATAACACTGAGTGATAATTGGAGATAGAATCTGAAGCCCTAATTTCACTATTATTTTTCCGTAACCAAAAGTGTATAACTAAAGCAGACTTACTATATTTAGGGGTAAGATAACATACAGATTGGAAAACTGGAACTCTTACAAAAGGTTTTTCCAAACAGATTATATTTTTACCCTCATTGTTACAGGTTTGTCCTTATGAAGTTTATACTCCTCTGAGTTATATACTGAATATTTATAAAACAAACAAACAAGAAAATCACCCACAAAAAACAAAACAACAAAAACTTGAAAGTGTCCTAGAAGATCTAATATTTTAAATTGAGCAGTGTATTGTGGCAGAACCGTAAGGAATGGGTTTACAATGATCACATCCTTCTTTATTTTTGTTTCATTATTAAGGACATTAGTTTTTCAAAAATATATCATAAATGCCATGCTGGCTTTGCTATTGTTCTACTTCATCTAATAGGCTATCTATATTAGGCATAGGTTTTGTAATATAGCATAAAATAGTCAGTAGCAATTCAGTACACAGTCACTGGGCAGCAATCTTCACTTTCCTAAGCTCAGAGCTTTTGTATGAGTTTACTTCCTGACCCTATGCATGACTCATATTCTTCTGGAAAAGCAACATGAATTTGTGGAGACAGAGTATCTATCTAATATTTTTTTCTGGCCTTGTGTATTTCAGTTTGCATCACTAGTTTAATAGTTCTGTTTATGTTTGTTTACATGAGTTCTTACTGAAACAATTCTTTTAAAATCATGAGTAATACAAACATTGAGCATGAACAAATATGTGCTAGCTGATGAGAGTACAGGGATAAAAGGTCTATTGGCCTCAGGTTGCTTCTCCTTTAGTGGAAGATGGCCAAATAAATCAGTTATTACTGTATAATCCCATGTTTTGTGAGTGACATGTACCTAGGGTGCTATGTTACCACCAAAGAAGGAGTATATCTAGCAATCTAATACATATACTCTTGTGCAGAGAGGGAGCTTCCCACAGAGGGAGATAACAGAGTTGAACTTCAAAGGATGTGTCCAATTTAGATAGATGAAGAAGGGGGTGGACAGAGGTCATCCTAAGTAGAAGAAACAAATAGAATATGCTAGAACACAAGCTACAAGTCACTAATAAGTACATTTTTCATTTACTAAAAAAAATCACTTGGAAAGTGGTATGTGTTATATATAAGAGGGGAGGCCAGGTTGGAGACAGGAAAATTAAGGGAGTATTGAAGTTGTTTTTATGAAAATACATGATCTGAGAGGAAGATGCTAGGAAAAGCTATGAAGGGATAGCTTTATGAGGAGTAAAGACAAAATCTTCAAAATTTGGTGACTAGTTAAATGGGTGGAAGGAGGAGTCTAGAATAATTCATAGGATAATCACAAATACCTAGAGTACAGAAAGGAAGGTATAATTTGGGAAATAAAGATGATGATATTTTCTAAATTAGATAAGTTGAGTTTTGAGGTACCCTATGGGATATCTGGAATTGGTCTAATCTAGTAGAGAGCTATACGTTTAGATTAACAGTTTTGCATATAAGAGATAGTAGAATCCATGGGTTTGCATAAGGTCACTAGGAATCATTTTTTAAATAATAGGACTACTAGGAAATACAGTCTTGGTAAACACTAACATTTAAGAGAACAAAAAAGTCAAACAGTGTGACTTCTGAAGAAGATGGCTAAAGAGGCAGGAGAAAAATGAGGAGAGTGTTTTATCAGAAAAGCCAAGAGGATAGAGTTTCAAGAGGGAGGGCGTAGTTAATAAGACAGGTGCTGTGTGAAGACTTCTAGTAGCAAGTTTGTTATCTTTGGCAATAAGTAGATGATTGATAACCTTATGGAATAATTTTAGTCCTGTGGTGAGGATAGGAGCCAGATTGCAGTATGTGGAAAGCACATGGGTAAGTGTTTGCCCAAAGCTCTACCAATTAGAAAACTTTTGGAACTCAGGACTGAAAATGAAATGTATTAGGCATTCATATTAAGACATTTGAAAGTGACAAGAAAATAAACTATGATACACAGAAAGGATGGAATTAAATTTTTGTGATTAATTAGAAAACAAAAAAAAGAATTGATTAACAAAATTGACAAACTTCTAGCAAGTTTAATCAAGGAAATAAATTTTAAATTATACATCAGAAATTAGAGACAATCCACAGATGAAAATTAAAATTTAGAGAATACCATATGTAGTTTGTGCTAAAATCTGAACATCTGAGAAGGAAGAATGATTTTTTAAGAGATGTAAATTGATAAAAAATGAGTCAAAAAGAAGTGGAAAATCAAACATACCTAGAGAGAAAAGAAAAATTATTAAGGAACTTGTTGCTAGGTCTTAGTTCTGGTTGTACATAGAGCTTCATTCATACCTACAAAGAACAGATAATTCTCCAGAATACAGAAAAATATGGAAATCTTCCTAGTCCCTTTTAGGTGGTATAACACTGACATAAAAACTTTTTGAAGATAGTACATTAGTGAAAACCACAAATCAGTTGCTTTTTAAGTTTTGAAAAATGTACCATCAGGTCAAATCCAGCAATATATTAAAACTAAGTATAGTTTAGCAATACATGAATACAAGAATGTTTCAGTGTTAGGAAATATATTAAATAAGTATAAAAATGTATTAAAATTTATATTCTCATATATGACCAAATTATTGTAGGAAAATCTTAGTAAGTAAGTGAAGAATACCTATTATTTAAACATATGAAGATAAATAAAACTTAACAGCCAATATCATAATTAACATAGAAGCACTAGTGGTATCTTCCTATTTAAGTGAAGAACAAGAGTGCTTGCCAGTACTTTTAAATAATATCCATGGTAGAAAGACTAGAGAAAGAAATAAGATTTAAATATTTCAAAGAAGGAGCATTAGATTATTTATGGATGCTATGATTATCTGCTTTAAAAACCCAGGAGAATCAACTGAGAAGCTATAGAACCAGACAATGAATTTTAGTAAGATAGTTGGTGAAACAATCAATATACAAACATACTTAATTTTCTTATACGCCAGGTCCCAGAGAACTCAATCAATACTAGTTACCTGAATGACTGGTTCAGTTCGTTTTCTGTTAGCCTGTATTCCATCACTATTTTGCCACTACCTTTAAATCTCTTGCACCTTTGCCATTTTACCACAATCACTTTGCAGAACCACCTTGGATGAATTCAATTTTTCAATTTCTCCTATGTGTACTATGGCTGCCGAGCACTGCTAAAATTACATGACCATGCAGACTGGAGCTACTAAAATTCATTGTGTCCAACATTAGCAAAGCCCTCCATGATGTCCTGCAAGTGCTGCATGTCCTTAGGCCACCACTCACATTTCCCTTACTTTTCCCCTTTTCCTCAAATCTATCATACTACCTCCTACAGAAAAAGTACCACCCTTGCTAACATTGTATAATGGGCATTTAAAAAAATCTTTGCCAGTATGATGAACAAAAAGTGATATGACGGTTTTTCTCATTTGATCTCTGTGATTCTAGTGAGAATGAACATCTTTTAGATATATTTATTGGCCATTTGTGAATTGCTTATTCAAGTCTTTTGCCATTTTCCTACTGCGCTGTGTCTTGTTAATTTCTGATATACTTTATACATTAAGAATATTAACTCTGTCATATATATCAAAGACGTTTTTTGCAAGTCATCATTTGCCTTTTAAATTTGCCTATAGTATTTTCTGACACATCAACTTTTAATTTTTGCATAGTAAAATCTAAAGTTTAACAAGAAAATACATTTAGGATTTAATATATGATAGAGTTAGCACCTATTACAGAGGAAATGATGAATTATGTATTAAATTCATTTAGATGTATATTCTTAGATGTTTCTGTGATTTATTTCACTTTTCCATCAGACTTTTAATCTACCTGAAGTTTAGTCAGGATCTTATTTCCCAAGTGGTTATTCATTTATTTTGTTTTATTTTCCCCCAAAATACTGAATTTCTATAAGTTTTATTACTCATGTAAAAGTTAAAATGAAGGTTGCAAAAAAATAGGAAAATACACAGTTGACCCTTGAGCAACATGAGGGTTAGGGATGCTGACCTCCACACTCGAAATCCTTATATAACTTTTGACTCCCCCCAAACTTAACTACTTATAGCCTACTAGTGACCAGAGTACATGCCATTAACATAAACAGTCGATTAACGTATTTTGTGTGTTGTATTGTTTGCTATATCTTTACAATAAACTAGAAAAAAATTTAATTAAAAATTCATAGGGAGAGGATATATTTACTATTCATTAAGTGGAAGTGGATCATCATAAAGGTCTTCCTCTTTGTCATCTTCACATTGAGTAGGCTGAGGAGACGGAGGAAGAGGGGGGGTTGGTCTTGCTGTCTCAGAGGGGCATAGGTGGAAGAAAATCCATGTATAAGTGGACCTGTGTGGCTCAGATCCATGTTTCCAAGGGTCATCTGTAATGAATAACAAAGGGTAACTTTGAAGGATGACATCTTCCAGTTAAAACCTGGAACAGAACAGGGTAAAAACAGAGAAGAAAGTAATTTTAATTTGAATATATTAAATACCAATCAATACTGTATCTTATGTGAGTTTATAGCAGTGAATAGATTCCAATCATCATTATTGTTTTTGTTGTCATTATTAATATTTGTACCCTGAATGTTTTTCTCATATATGAATTGGGCATTTAGAGATATTTTAACATTAAATTAAGATTATATTATGATACTCTTTATCATTTATATGTTACTTATATCTACAACCATTTCTAGTTTTTTT